GCGCAGCTGAGTTTGAGGTAACATGGGGTGTTTAAAGAAGAATGTAATCGATGTGTGCGCAGCTGAGGCGAATCCTGTGTGCGCAGGTGAGTTAAATATATAAAAGTCTGTGTGCGCAGGTGAGGCGAATTTTGTGTGCGCAGGTGAGGCGCCATCCCCCAGAGTCCGTCACGGACGCTGCTGCTAAAGGGCCTGCGACGGGGCATGACAAAAGGAGTGTCCATCGTGAGGATCTATGCGCCCCAAAGTGGGGTCCCTGTTAGGATCAAACGTGCCTCCGCTTCGCCAGGCGGGGTATATTGCACGTCTCGGTACCCCAACCAGGCACAACCTGAGTTAGAGCACTGGGATGCCACGAGCTCCCAAGAGTGTGCCATCGGCTGGGTCGTTTGGGTTTGACCCCTCTGAACGGCCCAGGGTTCCGCATGTAGTGTTGCATGACACTTCTCGTTTCGGGTCAGAGCGTGATCGGCATCCGCCTCGGCGTGGCTCACAGGACTTGGGCGTTGAAACGCCGCCCGGCGTGGCGGCTAGATGCCCAGTAGCCCCGGCGGGGGCCAGCGCAAAACGCAAAGTAGCCCAGCTAGAGCAAGATGGGAAAACCCTCCAAGAGCCCCAGACCCGACAGGAAAGCGAGCTAGGTCATCTTCGTACTAGAGTATAGGCCGGATCGATAAGTCAACGAGCTTGGCTGTCGAAAACTCTGCTAGCGTCGAACGGGTTTTCAACCAAGCCAAAGACTCCCGAGTGTCCAAGCATCTAGCGTGTCCGGACCTAGCCGAGAAGCTTGGCCTCCCGTTCCCCATCCCGGCGATACAACGGCCAACCAGTGGACCCAGGAAGTAGGATTCGAGAGTCGAGCGATCCCGCCGCTTTGGTTTGGTTCCGGCTTTATTGCTTGGAACCCGATTCATCTTGCCCACTAAACTCCGCAGTTCCGGGGACCCCAACACTAACCAGCGGATCCGAACCCCCGGACACGTCCTGTTGAAAATCAAGTTTGGGGACCTGTCCTTTTCAGATCTTCCGCACACTCCGCGAGGCCGCTTGAGACAAAGGTGAAACGGACTTGCTAACTTTCTCCATCCACCGGAGCCAGGAAGAACAGCAACGCCGCCAACGGCGCCGAGACGAAGATAAGGGAAAAGGTAAAGGGGGAGGAAAAGGAAACAAGGGTCGCGGTCGCGGCCGTGGCGAGTTGACCCTGCCCACCACGCGTTTCCACTGGAGGTTGCTGCACACTTTTTTACTTCTGACAGGGTTTCTCCTAGTCCTTGGACCACCACTCCCGGAACCGTTCCAATGTACAATTCACACTCCTTTTTGAGCGCATCATGGCTAGCATCCACAGTACTTATGGGCTGGAACCGAGCCGGTGACATGGGAGGTGGGCCGCTCGGCTGACTTCCATCCCTGTGCAGTAATGCAGGCGGCAGACTGCCCCCCTCTCCAAACCTCTATGACCGCCGGTTTTGGATCAAGTGGCGGGTGTCACAAGTCACAAGAGGACGACCTCGATGTCTGTGTCCATGCGCGCATGTTTTTGTGGACTTTTTTCGGCAAAGGCTTTTCACTTTGGCGGCTAATCCAAACACCTGTTACGTCGTCATACCACTGTAGCCGGTACCCAGTGGCTAAAACCATAGACCTAGAATCCTTGGTTCCTTATATAGTGGTAACCGGGATGCACTGGGTATATTTATATGATTAATATGTGTATTATCTTGACTGCATAATTATATATAGTGTTCCTAGACACTCCATGTCCAGACCCAGGACCTAAACAAACAAAGCCTTTCCATGTCCAATCGAGACCCAGGTCTGGCAGATTGTCCGACAGTGAGTTGGGCTGCCCATCCGTGTCGTCCGTTTTGGTCGTTCGCCGCGCCGCTGGGCCCGTGGGACCTGGCAGGTGGTGCAGGGGCACCATCCAAATACCCCAAGGCCATGTACCAACATCGTCCTGTTTGGGTGTCCTGCCGTGCATATATGCAGGGCAGTCCAGCCAGGTGACCCAGAATGGATGATCCAAGTAGGTACTAGCGCCTAGGTACACCTTCATTTCCGTACACATGCAAGGGACTGAACTTCCACCCACGCAAGGGTGGAAAGGTGGAGCAGGGTTACTCGTCCATTTTCGCTTGAGCGACATTTGGTACTTTGGTTTTGTGCAGAAAACGGGGTCGACAAGGGAAAATCCTTCATGCCACGCCATTCGGAAGGACATATTAAGGACATGTCGCCAATGGGCTTGGGCGATGCTGTCGAGGGGATGACCATTTCTGTCCGAAAACCACAACGAGCCGAGTGGTTGGCTGCCAAAGAGGTGGTGTGTCGCCGAGTTCGCCCACTTGAACCCAGGGAGTGGTTCACCTTTGATCTTTAGGGCGCGCTGCCGGCACAACCAGGGTCACCCAGACTTGCAAGAGGTCTCGAAATACCTTGGAGAACTGCCCAAGAAACACGTATATAACAAAGTAATAACATGTAGATACATGCTTACATGACATGCTCCTCATAGGATATCTACGGCTATGTAATTGTGTTTATCATCTGCACCCCTTGCATATGGATCACACCATATTCACGGTGTTTGTGTCGTCTCCAACGGTTTGTTCCACCGGTGTCTCCAGGCTGATTCTGCGTGGAGTCTCCAGGCCGGACTCGCAGAGTCTCCGCGCGGCTGCGGAAAACAATCCAGGTGTTTTAGAGGCCAGTTTCCCAGTTCTTGTGTCTTTGACATGGCTCCCCTTCAGCCAGTTATTGGTGGTGTTTTTAGAAGCTTTGGTGTTTGTTGGAGTGCACTGAGAGGCCAGAAGAGGGAGCGACAAATGCCAGAATGATCTTCTCTCGGCGATTGTTTGGTGATTGTTCGGCGTGCTAGGAACGAATCGTTCAAGAATCCCACGGGCTACGGTGGCAAGGCACGGCGAACGAAGCGACGACAACTCGAGGAGAGGCGCAATCAAACGAGAGCTGGGTTTTGGTCCAGTTTTGGTCTATTTTCATTTCTTGAGGGGGTCGAACTTGAAGGTCCCCCTAACCTAGACTGTTGATACAGTTCCCTATCATAGGTATCCTATCATGAACCAAGCTCGATGAGGAAACCCAAGCTCGATGCTGCAATGCTCCCTATCAAAGGTATCCTATCTATTCCTATCCTGTGGCTTCAAAGGCGCTCAGAGGTTTACTGTTTAGAGTAGCATGTCATTCTAATGAACCGCTGCAGAGACATCCAAACTAGTACTATCGCTTTCACTCGAGTTTCTCCATTCCAGTGTGTTTCGACCCTATCCGATGCCCCCAGCGGATGCCCGGGCCGCACCGCTTTAAGGGACATGGCCCACGTATGCCCACAACTGCACACATGAGGTGAAGCGAAATCAGGGAGCAAGGGATCGAACGTCTTGAATATATTATGTATTTTATACATACGAGATCATGGATGTTCTTGTAACGGGATTCATGATAGGCATGAATGTGCCGTACTTCTCCCGCTCAAGCTTCAATGTCCGGGTTCCCACCAATTCTTAGCCATAGCGTTGCTTTCGTCGGTGGTGGCTTCGTGGTGAATCTGCTTTTTGGTAGCAGGGTTCAGTGCCCCAACTGTGAAGTCAATTGTGGTCACATCAGCTGCCCTCCAGTGACCTGCACCACTGGCAGCATCAACTTCGAGCTGATCGCTGCTGCCATCTTGGTGTGTTGTTTGCTGGGGTGTGGCTTTGCAATCCGGGTTGTGAGCTGGCAGTCGGCTGGTAACGCCAAGGGTCCCAGCAAGGGTGCAGATGCTAGACAGCTTGGCACCGCCAGCTCGTGGGCCCCTATCACCGGGTGACTTCATTTTAGTTCACTACGACGTCACAGAGACACTATGGCATGCTCGACTACTTCTAAGCCATGTTCACCAAAGTCTTTGGGTCATTGTGACACCAGACGGAGACCTGTATCTAGAAGACCTAGGAGGACCAGATATCACAGCATGGAGAAACTACGAACCTCATGGACCTACCCCCCTTCGGAATCAATGCCCACGAGATCTATCCCTTCAGGAACCTTCCAGGAGATGCGGCCAGGAACCAACTCATGATAGAGGGAGAGCGGCATGCTGCCGCGGAACGCATTCACCTTGGGCTACCCCATCCTCCTCCTGGTGGATCAGCTGCAGTGGCACCAGTCGCAGCTGCTGCGGCCCCGGCGAATCCTGGCGGTGGTGCTGTAGGAGGCGCTGCTTTGGTGGCTCCACTAGCCGGGGCAGCCGCCGCAGGCGCTCGACCAAACATCGCAGGTGGTGGGGGTGCTGCCGCTTTGGCTGCGGCTCTCAACCAGCCCCCAGGTGGTGCTCAAGCAATGAACTCCGGTCTCAACGGAGACGATGCTCGTACCCTTCCAGTGACCAGGGACGACGATGGAAATCGTTTCAAGGAGTTCAGAGTTGGTGTCCAAGAGTGCAAGCAGAGCGAGTTCAGCGACTGGCCTATCGGCGGTCCCAGGACCGTCCGCCACGTCCTGATGGAGATGGTCAACCATGGAGGATCAGCGCTTGCCCATCATCAAGCTTGGCGGGTGGCGTGCAAGTTTCAGCCTTCAGACGGCCCTGCCGTCGAGCACGAGGGTCTTTGCAAGATCCTCCAGACCATGTTGACTTACGATCAGCTCGACGTGTGCAACCTAGCCAGTGCCGAACTCATTGCCAGAGGGATTCAACGCATCGAAGAGAAGCACAAGTTCAAACTCCAGGCCTCGGACGAGTCAGGCGAAGGTGCTCTTTTTATGGGCGCCATGTGCGGCGCGCGGGTTGGATCCGTGGTGTCGCCAAAGCTGACGGAGTGGGTGGGAGGAGAACTTCAGAAGGAGGCTCTTGTGGCAAAGGAGCGCAGGAAGGCGAGAGAGGAACGCAACCTCGCTCGCAAATCAGCAGGAAAGGAACAGGAAAAGTGACATCTTCATTGAGGGTGTCTTCGTTTTGGTGGGGGGAAGGACTTTGGGCACTCATTTTTTGCATGTTCCTCATCCGTGGTGTGGAAGCTGCTGACTTTCGTCAGCGTAACATCTTCCCGCTGCCCGAGATTGACTCTGATGGTGCGGGCCCCGGTGGTTGCGACTGGAGCCTTTTTGCCAACCAGGGTATTAAGACCCTCAATGAACTTGCTGGGTGTGTGAATTCAGATTTTCATGGTAAGAGGAAACCTACACGTGTGCAACGCCGTGTTCTTTCTCACATCACAGAGTGCTACAGGGATGCTTATCATCATGTTGACCCTCATGAGATGGTTGGTTCCCTGTCTAGCCTGTGTTCATCATCCAAGACCTATGATAGTGGTCGCAGTGATGTGGAGCCCTACGTCAAGGAGAATATCTCCTGGCCTGAGGTGAGCAATTGCCCAGTTGCCCTGGACACCTGCCTACCTCCGGCTGACCGTGAATGGCTGGGTGCTTGGCGCAAGCATATGCTGCATGATGGTTCTAGCAGTCAGGTTGAGGACACGCCGGTTAAACCGTATGTTGATCCCATTCTGAAACATAATGTTACCGCATATGCCGAATTTTTGGAAGAACTCAAGAGCAGAAACATGATCAAGTTCAAAATTGCCAATGGTGAGAAGGGGGCCCTTGGAGTCTTCTTTGTCAAGAAAAAGTCTGGACAGCTTCGCCTCATTTTCGACACACGTCGATTGAACCAGAGCTTCAAGAAACCACCATCCACTGACCTCCCCTCCGCAGATGCATTCACTCGTACTGAATTTCTTGAAGGTGAGCCCTTTTACATCGGTTCAGGTGACCTCACTAACGCTTTTTACACCCTGGCCGTCCCGGATGGCATTGCTGAGATGTTCACCATGCCCGGCATTGAGGCTGGTAAGGTTGGCGTCTCCGACATTGCTGGGACACCTACTGAGGCTGAAACCATTGTGTTGCCGTATGTCACCGTGTTGCCGGTGGGGTGGAGTTGGGCTCTTCACCTTTGTCAGTCCGTACTTGAGTATGCCATCACTTGTTCTGGTTTCACACCAAAGCAATTCATCGGGGACAAGCGGGATGCAGTTGTGATGAATGACAAGGGGTCAACCGCAGTCGCTGCGTACGTCGACAACTTCGGTGTTCTTGGTGCCGATCGCCAGGTCGTTGATGAGGGACTTCAGAAGATCATCGCCACCCTGAGAGGGTGGGGGCTATTAGTTCATGAAATTGAGCCTGCTAGCCAGCGTGCAGACTTCGTTGGCCTTTCCTTTGATGGTGTCAGGGGAACTGTATCGATCAAGAAGACTCGTATCAATCGTATCAAGTTTGCCATTGACGAGCTGTTGGAAAGGCAAGTCTGTTCTGGTCGTACTATGCAGCTCTTAGTAGGTCACCTAACCTGGGCCCTTCTTTGTCGACGTTGTGGACTTTCACTTATCAATGCTTGTTATGCTTTTATTGGTGATGGTTCCAACCAGAATCGAAGGCTTTGGAAGAGTGTTAGACAGGAGCTGCAATGGATCAGTGCAATCCTTCCATTGCTCAAATTTCATGTCAACTCAAGTTGGAGTCCTGATATCACTTCATCAGATGCGTCTCCTTGGGGATATGGTGTTTGCTATAGAACTGTTGATTCACATGTTGCTGAGAGCATTGGTCGAAGCAGCGAGCGGTGGCGGTTTCTTTTTGCAGACGCTACAAATGCTAGAGAGCATGCGTTTTCTCCTAAACATCTCCATGACAGTGACCATCTTGGTGATGAACAGCCGGGTATAAACTCCGAACACCTCCATGGCAGTCATCAACCTAGTGAGGAACACCCTGGTATATACTCACAACTTGGTGATGATAGTGGAGTACATTATAGGTTCATTTCGGATGGTGTGTTCACGGAGATTCCTGTTGACATTCTTAATCCGGATGATTGGTCCATAGCATGGTCACGGCCTTGGAGATTCGAAGCCAACATTCTGAACACCGAAGCGAGAGCATTAGTTTGGAGTGCGGAACATCTCCTGCGCTGCAGCCGTGCTTTTGGCAGAAGACTTGTTTGCCTCACAGACAACCTCCCATTGGCACTTGGGGTTACTAAGGGTAGAGCTAAGTCGACTCATCTTCTTCGACCTCTTCGCAAACTATGTGCTCTTTCACTTGCCACCAAGTCTAAGGTACATGTTAGATGGTTGCCCTCTGAACGCAATGTTGCTGATGTGCCATCTCGTGCCACCGATATTTGGGAGGCCCAAGGACTTAGGGGTTGGTGGAACAGCCCAGTCAGACATGTAGAAGATGGTTCGAAAGGTTGTGAGCCGTCAGTTGCAGAAGCCGGTCGATCGTCATGTCTCGCGACACCTGCTGCGGCAAGCGAAGACAAAGCTCAGAGGATCCATTCCAGAGGGCCTGACCTACCTAGAGGCCCGAAGTGTCCGGGAACCTACACGCCTGGACTACATGCGACGGATCAAGGACTTCAACCACTGGTTGGGCCCCCATGTGGTAGACTTCACAAACCCCCTGGACGTAGACAACATTCTGGTGGAGTACCTGCAGGACCTGTTCGACTCCGGTTTCAAAGTGGACTCAGGGATTCGGATTCATGCTGCCATCAGGTTTTGTCATCCACAGTTGGGGAAGAGCGCAAGTGGAAGTCTGCCCCGGTGTTTACGGGCCCTCCGGGGTTGGAAGAATGCAGATCCACCATTACAGAGGATGCCACTGCCAATAGAGGGATTTGGAGCCATACTGGGGTACTGCATAGCGACAAACTTCTTGGAGATGGCGGTTCACCTGTTTGTTCAGTGGATGACCTACATGAGACCTGGCGAGGCAAGCAGCCTCACAACCAACCAGCTTATCCCCCCTATGAGCAGATCTTTGAGCAGCATGCAGTTTTTTGCCGTGCTGCTCCATCCAGCAGAGGGACGGGTACCTGGGAAGACGGGTCATTTCGACCAGGGAATTCTACTGGACAGCGACTTGTGGATCAATCCCATCCTCATGAAACTTATTCACATGAAGAAGCCAAGCACACCACTGTGGAACCACACACACATGGAAATTCTCAATGTGTTTCAGAAGGCTGTCAAGTACCTTCAGTTGGAACCACTGGGAGTAAGCATGTACACCCTTCGCCACGGAGGTGCATCCTACGACATCATCAGCCAACGGAGGACCATGGACGAGGTCAAGCAGCGGGGAAGATGGTCAGCCGATTCGTCTCTCCGCCGTTATGTAAAGACAGCACGAATTCAAAGCGAACTTCACAAAATTCACCCAAAGGTCATAGAATTCGGTCGGATGGTACTCAACAACCTGCCCGAACTTTTGAACGGAAGCAGCAGGATAACAAAGCTACCATTTGGAACGAACATGTGACCAAACGCATGCTCAAGACAGCTCATGTGCGAAACCATGGTCCCAAGAAATGTGATGGTGCTCAACTTCTCAAGCATATCTTTCGTCGTGTTTGCAAAGATTTTGGTAAACGTCGCGTTTATCTTGATTTGTTTTGTGGGGACCATGGGATTGACCGCCAACTACGTAGGCGAGGGGAAGCCGTCATAGCCCTTGATATTAGTGATGATCCTCGCTTTGATCTTACCAGCCCCAAGGTTGCTGCTGTTGTGTTTGGTTGGATTAGGAGTGGTTGTATTAAGGGAGTTTGGCTTGCTACCCCATGTACGTCATGGAGCAGAGCACGACATGGTCCGAGCCATTCCAGCTGGGGTCCTCTTCGTACCAACCAGCATTTGTTTGGAATACCCGGACTTAGTGCCAAAGATCTCCACAAAACCAAAGTTGGGAACCAAACCATGTTCTTCACTCATAAAATCATTCGGTTGTGTATCAGTCTTTCTGTTCCTTGTTTTCTTGAAAATCCTGTTGGTTCCATGATATGGTTGACCCCCCAACTTACCAGGGTTTGTGCTCATCATTCGTCACGTCAGTTTATCACCGACTTTTGCCAACATGGCGCTCGATGGAGAAAGCGCACCAGAATTCAGGGATGGCTCTCACAGGATGACAGCCGCTTGCATTTGACTTGTCATGGCCGTAACGGCGTGTGCTGTCGCACAGGCAAGCATCACATCACCCTTAAAGGACAGGATCCCATCAGTGGACAATTGTGGACCCATCTTGCTCAACCCTATCCTGCTCGCTTTTGTGTTGTTGCTGCTGATGTTTTGTCTCGCTCTGGTGATGCCATCGAGGATTTGTCTTATAAACGCCTTTTTGGCTTCTAATTGGTGGGATCCCTTTGTGTTTTTGTTTTCTTCCTTTCTTTACTTCGGCACCGGTATGCCAGTTTCCAAATTTGACGTTAGTGTCAATGATGCGGGTGCGGGCGGGGCACAGTTTGTCATAGGCTTTTGGCCTGTGGA